AAGAATATATTAGGAAAGAAGACTAATCAAATTCCTACAAATCAGTCCTACAATCAAGGTAAATCATATCTCCCTAGTATTTACTTCCTATTTTAGTTATACAGTCTGTAACATCMTATCTCCCTAGTATTTACTTCCTATTTTAATTATACAGTCTGTAACAATATATACCATAGATATCTTTTTTTTGTAACAATATATAGCATAGATATCAGGAATATAGAGAAGATTCTTAGAAATCAGCTGGAACTGATGATAATATCTTAGAAAAATTTGTCACTAAAATGGTTTTGTTGACTTCTGATTATAGCTTTTTCTATTTAATTGTATTTTTGGGCTGCAGTGTTAATGATCCAGGGAGCTTAAGAATTAGAGCGTTAAGTATTAGCTTTATTCTCTAGTCAGGTTGGATATGGAGACTCTCGACAAGGGAAGAACTGATGGCTGTGTTGCAACAATTTAGATGGGGGTGATCATTGCATTATAATAGTATAGTGGTAGAAGAGGATTCCAATGGAGTTGTGTGCTGTTTTACAAAATAGTACAGGTACTTAATTATATAGACATGCAATAGGGKWGATAAACAGTACAAAAGGTGACTAGGCACCCATGGAAAAAATACAATAGAAGCACCTTATTGTAATATTTTTTTAATAAGTGCCGTACTGTAATATTATTACTACATCTATATAGTATTATTATGTGTTTTAAATGTCAATACATTCTATCATATATCATGTGCATTTTTTATCAGTATCATATATCATGTCCACTTTTTTTTATCAGAATCATATATCATGTGCATTGGTTATTCTTTGTTTAAGGATTTCACCATAAAAATATAAAAGGGTTCTAAGAAGATAAAAGAAGAATAAAGAATTTTCTTCTTTTTTTCCTACAGTTTCCTATTCCAAGTTTTTTATTAGTATATAAAACAAATAGCCTTCTTTCATTGCTAATGATATAAGGAGTACTTGAGATATGATGATCTACTATGTTATCAATAAGGAGTACTCTAACTTTTCAATTTATATGCATGCTGATTGGTATGTAAAATTAGGAAACTAACCTAGAATTTATCTTTTTTTTTCTTTGTAAAATTCTATGACCTAGGCATCTAGGTGAAAGTGCCCTAACCCCAGTTATTTTCTTGAAATTTCACTAATCTAATCCAGGTAATCTACATCAAAATCCAGAATTTTAGTTGGGAACCTCTGGTGTTTCTATTTAGGGCTTAAATTATAGTTGTGTCCAGAAAATCCAACCAGCAAAATTTTCATTTGTCAGTCTTATTGCTTCATTTTTTAACAGTGTCTGTTAAAATAAATATATTTCTTGCTTCAAATATTAGTAGTCAAGCATAACTTAAACCTAAAGTCCAGCCCTGTGCATTGCTAAAATGTTCCATGGACATGAAGAACAAGCCTATCAAATGCATGGTACATACAATTTTGCAATTACATGAATAATGTAGAAATCTCAAAGTGTGAAGCCAGGTCTATGACATTAGTGGGGAAAGCAAATGTCATGTTGCAAAGCTTGAGCCTCATGTTTATTGGCTATAAAAAATTGTCTCTATGGACTCCATTGTAAATATAAATACAGTTTGGAAGCAACTTCAATCATCAACATCTAGAGCTGTGAACAGTTACCCAGATCAAAGTACACAAGAAAGACTAAATCGTAATGCAACCTCTACCAAAATGTGAAAGACCAATTCGTTTTTCAATAACACAAATAAAAGTGAGGTAACAGTGAAATCACTTCCAGGGAAAACAGCATGTTAAAAAAACTAAGAATAAACAAAGAGAAATGAAACATACCACTGTTACAAAGCATCAGATAGCAGTGGTAATATGGTAATATAAACACCAGCAACAATATCAAGCAGAACAAATCAACTTTCCAGTTTATCCATCTTGCCCTGCAGCCAGAAAGGTAGTCAAATTTCTTCAGACTGCTCAACGAATGTCTTCCATTAATCATAGGACTTTAACCAGTTGTGAAATAGTACAAGAGTCAAACAACAAACTTCCATACCAAGATAGAGATCTTTACATCAATAAATATGCAACTTGCTCATTATCAGTTTGTACAATACATACAAGAACCCATAGTTGTCAAGGCGACGCCTAGGCGACAAGGCACCCTTGGAGGCTCGCCTCGCCCAGTCGCCAAGCAGTTTTGTATACTGTCTTATAAAATACTTTTATATTGTTACTTTTTTGAGATTATAATTATAAAATAGACATTATTAAACAAAAATATTCATTTTTTGTGTTTATAAACTAATTTCTTTTTATTATTTTCTTATATTTTAGGGTTTAATCAACACAAAGAATTGCTAACTGCTGTATTGAACCCTCAAAGACTTCAGTATCTGAACCAATAAGGGAAAAACTTAAAGTTTTGTCTAATCAACACATTTCTTCTTCTTCTTCTTCTAACAAAAATAGGGGTTCAGTCCCCATATTTTTTTGAATTTTCTTTTCTTTCTTCTTTTTCTTCTCATAAATATGTTGATTTTCTAGACTTAAACATGAAGTTTAAAATTTTCTTATGAAAATTATGGATAGTTATTGAGGAAAGATGGTTATGGAACCTAGGGAACTACCTAGGATATGTATTTTTTCCTTAAAAAAATCCATCGCCTAGGCGACTAGGCGACAAGATGCCCCCCTGTCACCTGCCTTGGCGCCTTGAAAACTATGCAAGATCCAATGCAAAGTTAGAGAGTGAGAGAGAACTAGAGAAAGAAGAAGAAAAAGAAGAACTTAGGAAGAGAAAGGTTCAGGGTAGTTGACCCAACTTCAACTACTTATTATGTGATGAACATAAAACATACAAAAAGACAATAATACCTTGCTTATAAAATATAAGACTTTCAACACTCCCCACAAGCTTAGAATAGATAATGAACATGCCCAGCTTACCCAAAATACCACTAAATTTAGATTTAGGAACTCCTCTTCTGAGGACATAGCCAATTGAAGTGCTAATTTCTTAGAAGGTACGCGGACATCATCAACTGTGGCTGCCTTTCTAATTAAAAAGCAATTCATTTAATGCTTTCATGACCTGATTAGATCAATTAGGTACAAGGCCTCCCTTAGGATCATACTCTAACCAGAGATAATTACTAACAACAACCAGAACCGCATGGATCAATGACCTTATTTTACATTCCTAGCCTCCAAAATCCTACGGTATTTGAGAAATTTCCTCCACACCTGAGAGATATCTGAAGGTTACAAGACAGTCCAGATTGAATTGTTTTGGAGGTAATCATGATTGACCCGGTTCATTCATAGGCCACCCCTCCTAGTAACCACCAAATGTGCCTATGGAGACTGCCCAGTTCATTACCTTACTCCAAATTTGATCATGAACCATTGCTCCCCAATTTGGCTGATCCACTGATTTGGACTGCAAAACAAATAACAGTTACTTAATCTTGACATAGAACACATTTCACATCCATTTTCCATCCTAAAGGTTCATGTTCTTTTTTTTTTCTGTCAATTCCTTTTCCTCCTTGGAATTCTAGCCATATCTCCAAGCAACTTGTATGAATCCAATCTTCACCAGCACTCCTTACCAAGTAAATTTCTACCACAGACCTCACCGCTCAAACTAAGTATTGAAAAACCTAGAAACTACAATTGGAATCAAAATCGCAATATTCACAATTTTAAGTGGCATAAAATACCATGGTCTGATCTTCTAAACATCTATTTCAAACGTAAAACCCTTTATCCAAAAAATACTCCCTATATCTCTGTTACTCTCAATGAGCAAGTAAAGTTCTTCTTTTTCTTTCAATAGTTCTAACCAGAATAGATTATAACCAACTAGAGACGAGAACCCAATTAGAAATCATGTACATACTATAATTAAGATCAAATTAACAAGATTCACAATATAAAAGTGCATAAAGAGCAATGTCGGACATCTCCAAAGCATTTCGGGAAAAAAACAAAAAATATTAAATCCAATAGAAAAAAAAAAAAGAAAAAAAAAAACATTGTATTCTTGTACTACATTAAATCAACAACCATATAGAACCATAGAAGAACAAGACAAGAAATAAAAGTGCCCAAATCTGAGGAAAATTCAAGAAATGAAATAGAAACCAAATGGAAAGAAATGAAAGAGATTTGGGTCGAATACTCTTTAGAGAGGACTGGTATGATCTCGAAGAGAACGAGCTGTAGGAGGTTACAGGAGAAGGCGAAGACGACGCTGAAAAGGATCTGAACCAGAACCCTCTTCTCTTCATACTCTTTGTACAGTCTTCGGTTCAGGAACCAGAGTCCCGCCCATCCTAGCAAGGAAAAGGAGCCAAACACCACCACTCCTTCGTAAATCGCCCATTCCCACCCCATATCTTCTACAGTTCAGGCTTCTCTGCTTCGCATTCACTCTCGCCTCTCGGTTGCTCAGGTTAGTTCTGTTTCATCCATCTCCCTCTCCCTCTGACAGGTCACTTGGAGTTTCTGTTACGCTGCATGAAAAGAAGAAAACGAACGCCGACGAGGCGAAGACGAACAAGATAGAGCAGATGGGCTGGGCTGGACTCATTTGGGCTTTTACGCTAAGGCCACATTGAGTGAGAATTGTATGTGTCCAGCTTACCCATTGGGATGGCTTGCCTGCAATTGCAAACGGATGAAATCGAATATGATACGTAGGGTAGGGATATAAATGGGTCGGGTTATGGTTTTGATTGTTTGATCCGTGTCGGTTCGGGTTTTAGATGACCCGCCCGTTGAGTCATGATACTTTGTATGTATATCAAGTATTCTTACAATTTTTTGATTTCCATCTTTGTAAGCTTAAAGTTTATGATTTATTACATGTTGATTTTGATTTCTTCCTTTTTTAAATGGAAAAATAATACCTTAAAATCTATTAAACAATCTCCTAACTTAAATTAATGTATTTTAGGTCTTCAATACATGTTAAAAAATACATTTGAAATGCTAAAGATCGGATTGGGTTAGAATCGGGTTAAACCCTATAAGGTCGGGTCGGGTTCATGAATCATGTACTTTTTAAGCTGAGTTGGGTTGATGTCGGGTTGAGGTGCTGGAGGGCCGAGTTAGGATTGAGGCAAACCCGTTCCAAACCCAACCCGTTGACATCCCTAATGATACAAGATGGAGGTATGAAACTCAAAGTAGCCTATCAGACCTCACAATTCAGAAGGGAACACTTGGTCGCTTGTTGTTGATGGAGTATAGTCTAATATGTTATGAGTAGGGTTGTACATGGGTCGGTCTAGTTCAGTTCCACACAAATTTTCCAATCGAACCAAAGACCTCAGATTGACTATTCAAACTTCAAACGTCTTCTTTAGAGTAAACAACTAAATATTTTATTCTTTTGTTAATAGTTTAGACAATGAGTAAGAGTACAACCTATACACCCCTAAAAAAATTAATATTATTGCTTTATAATTAATTATTATTTAATTATTAATCTCTCTCTCTCAAAACAATACTAGTGGGGACTCGTGCGATGCACGGGATTTATCAAGAAAAGTGAAATAATCAATACTTATAATTAAGAAAAGAATGCAATGTTGTTTAAAATAATTATTTTTTTATTTTAATAATTTATTACAAAAATGTTTTAGTAATTTAGTAATTTGGATTTATTATGGCAAAAAATAATAACTATTGCTAGTTACTTAATAAAATAAATATTTTTTCACATTATTTGTTAGTGTTCTATTTTATTTATTTTACTTTATTGATGATTAAATGTTTCAATTTTTTTGTAAATATCACTTAAATATTTAAAATAATTAAATATCAGTAAATATGTAAAATTAGGCTATAGTCATAATTAAATTAACCTATAGTTAACTCTTTTAGTCATTAACTAAATTAATCTAAGCCCAAACTCAAGTTTTAAGACTTTGGATTATACTTGGATTGATCCTCATCTTGACCCAACCAACCCAAGTTGCATGCATCGTAACATTTGTAATTGGATTAATTGGACCAAAGTCACCAAACCAAGTGCAACCAATGCATGCATTATTTTTAGGTTTTCTTAACTATTTTTAGATAATATTGAAGCCAAAGGAACTATGAGGGATGGGTCGCCCACATTGTGTAGTCCAATTAACCAAAAAATTAAAAATTTTGGGCTAAATTTTGATAGTGTATTAGTARTTTTTAAGATTGCTTGGCCTAGCATAGCCCACACCGTAAGTATAATAATATTTGTATATGCTTACAAGATTGCTCGTGTTAATTATAAAACTATGAATTTTTTACAAATTAAATTTTTTATTTAATTTTAGTCTAGTATAAAAAATATATAACATTTTCATATATATTAATATAAAATTTGTTATCTAAATATTATATAATAATACTTACCATATATGCATATAACTTCCAAGTTGAGCTTATTAGGGTTTGTTTAGCTTGGGCTCTATCCGCTAAAGCCATCACTAGACTCCAAAGGTCGGATACTAAATTAGACTTTGAATCTGATTATCCTTGATAATGTGTGGGCTTGGTGCATATCTCAGCTAGACCTAACTCAAAAGAAAACAATTGCTTGAGGCTAGAAATTTATATATCTAATTGACTTAGGTTAAGTTATAAATGATTTGTTACTTTTTATTATTAATTTTAATCATCCTATCAATACTAATTTTTACTAGTTGCTAGATAAAACCTAGGGGTGAGCATTCATTTTATTCGGTTAAAAATCGAACCAAATAAATCAAAATTTTAAAAACTGAACTAAAAAAATAAAAACTGGAACTGGAATAATCGAAACCAAAATTTTTGGCTTAGTTTTTGGCTATTTTGGTTAAAACCGAATTTCAATAATATATAATCTATTATCTATATTATAACATATAATATATATTATATATTATAAAATATATATTATGAAATCAAATTTCATTATATTATATATTAATATGTTATATATTATATGTTTCATATTATATATCATATACTACACATAATAATAGAAAGTTCGGTTAATTTGGTTAACCGAATTTCTAATTCTAAAAACTAAAACTGAAAACCGATTTAATCAAAAATCGAAAAACCAAATTGAAAAGAAAAACAGAAACCAAATTTTTTTGTTTGGTTTTCGGTATTAACCGAATGGTGTTTCACCCCTAACAAACTTATTAAAATTTAATTATCCTATCAATAATTTATACCTGGGTTTGGTGTAGATCTTAGCTAGACCTAGCTTAGAAGAAAATATTGCTTATGCCCAAGGTTGGTCTAAGTTATAAATGATCATCCCTAAGTAGAAGGACTCTTATGACATTATGCAAATGGTTTAATTTTTTTTCATAATCTTTTACTTTTATATTTTATTTTAATTATCCTATTAAATTATATTTTCGTTTTTTTCTAATTTATGAACTACTAATTATTTTTTATTAATTTCATAACGTTTAATAACTGCTAGATAAAAACTTGCTAAATTTTAATATTTTTATTAACTTTAGTAACGCTATTAAATATAGTTATTAGGCTTCAGATTATATATCAATTGCACATTATAGGTTTCTAGATGAATCATGACTGTTCTAATATTGTATTTATTAACAAAAAAATATATTTTAATAAGTACAACTAATGATTTAAAAAATACCGCAATTATTATTAATATTGTTTTGAATAAATGATGTATTTATTAAAATACTTCTAATTATTAAAATACTGTAAGTATTAAAATATTGTAATTATTAAAAATACTATATTTATGGAATATATGGCTAATTAATTAAATACTATTAATTAATGAATATTGTAATTCATTAAGTATTGTTAATTAATACATAATGTAATTAACTAAATACTATTAATTATTACATATTGTGTTTGTTAAAATATTGTTAATTATTAAAATTACTAACTATTAATTATTTTTAATTATTTATAAATACACTATTTTTAATAAATACATTATTTATTAATGTAACTATTAATATTGATTTTAATAAAAATTGAATTATTAAAATACTATAATTATTAAAATATTGTTAGCTGTTAAATTATTGTAATTATTAAATTATTTTTTATTTAAAATACAGTAATTTTTGGAAATTATCATAATTTTAGAAATATTAATAATTTCTTGGCTAAAACTAATTAAATGTATTTTTTTGGTAATTAAATATAACTTTTTGGTAATTAAATGTAATTTTCTGATATTTATAGATTAAATTATTATTATTGTTAATTATAGATTAAATTAGATCATTAAAATACATTATTTTTTCATTATTATTCAGTATTTTTTGCAATAAAATACAATTAATTTATTTTTTAATTATTTTTAGTATTTTAATTATATTTTAGGTTTTCAGAATTTTTGGATTTTTAATTAATTGATGATATTTTTTCATTATTCTTCAGTAATTTTTGCATATGAGTATTTTTCAATAATTTTCAGTATTTTCAGCATTTATTTTTRCATATTAGTCACTACAAAATTAATTTGCATTTGCTTTTAGTAAAAATAAATTAAATAATTAAATAAATATCATAGTTAATAAAAAATGTAGTTAATTTTCAATATTTTTCAATAATTTATGGCTTGGGTAGTTTTTAATAATTTTTGGTATATTTAATAATAAAATACTATTAATTGTACTTTTAATTATTTTTCAGTAAATACCCTTATTAATACAAAATACTGTTAATCTTCAATATTTTTAATTATTTTAGTATTTTAATTACGTTTAGTAATTTTGTATATGAATATTTTTTGTAATAAAATACTGTTAATAAAACCGGTTTTGCATTTTAAATTTGTATTAATTTTTATCATTTTTAATGAGTTCATTATGCACAATAAAGGTTTCAACTCATAAAAATTATTAATTAATTAAAAATGCATTAATACAATCTTATCTAATAATATTATTAAAACTGTCAATTAATATTTTTATATTTAAATTTCATATTTTTAATTAATTGTTGGTATTTCAATAATTTTTGCATATGAGTATTTTTGCAATAAAATACAGGTTATACATTTTAAATTTTCATTAATTTTTATCATCATTAATGAGTTCATTATGCACAATAAAGGTCCTAAGTCCCAACTGATAAGTTATCTAATAATATTATTAAAACTATCAATTAATATCTTTATATTTAAATTTCTTATTTTTATTAGCATTTATTAAGTTTGATTTTTAAGTGAAATTGAAACACATTTTTAATATTTACTATGTTTTGTTATTAGTTATTTTAAGTGAAAGTTTAAGTGGATTTTTAAATTAATAATTTTTTGATTATTTAACCTTAACCTATTTGTATTATTACTATTCTCTCTCTCTCTCTCTCTTAAATGTAATAATAACATGCATTAAAACAAAAGGCCTTGGAAAACCCAAATATGTGTTGTGTGTGTGTGTGTGTGTAATAGTCTACAATTTTATTGATTCAATCAAAATAGACAATGATTACTTTTTTTTATTTTTAAAACAAAAGAAAATAAAAAATATAAAAAAATGGATAAAATAGATAAATAACTTATCTCAAAGGAGAGACGTGCTGACATGACATGTCTAATTTTATTATATATATAGATATTATTATTATTATCATTTTTAAAAGTAAATCAAGAATAAATATGAAATGTGAGATAGAACAACCAATAGGTTTGACTTTTGATAGAAAGAACAATTATGCCTAGGGACTATGGGTCAAGTCACTTCTCACTTATAAATGCCTAGGAGCTATGCCTAAAGGGCAAACCTTCACACCTGTCATTAATTAACTGCCACTTACGAATATGGGAATTGAGACATGGGAATGGTTAAGCTAAGGTCACATGTATTATTAATATGTATTCGGTTTAGTTCGACTTCATCTCGATTTACAAATTTATAAACCACAACCAAACCGTTTAGTCAGGTTATGCATATTTCTAAACCAAAACCAACTGGCTTATTTGAGAATCAACCACATCAGTTCGAGTTGGATTGGTTTGGGTTGATTTGGTCGTTTTTTACACTAGTGTGAACAACCCTAGTTACGAGTCCAACCCCTTATGAAGAATTATTTATTTATCTTGGCCTATTGGATCGAGATGGCAAGTGAACATTTTGGATCTCAATTGTGAGCCAAGCTTCTATAAAAAATAAAAAATTTATATATAAAAATTAATTTTTATTTTACATACAAAATTAAGAATTATAAAAATATTTATTACCATACATACAAAAAATAAAAATATTATTATATATATAATAAAAAATATTTATTAATATATGTATGTATCAGGCTCACTAGCCTCACAAGCCAAGCTTCATTGAGCTCGAATTCAACATAAAACTCGATTTGAACCGAATCAAATCAGACTTTTCAATTTTTCATAAAATGAACTTGAATTACTCATAAAAAGTTTTGTTTTGTTTTCACGTATATGCAATTCAACACATTTACCACCTCCATCAAGCCTGTACTTTAGGCTTTAGTTTCATTACCTCACTTGGCTTTTGGAGAAATTTCGTGGCAAAAATTCTAGACATTTAAGCATTTGCCCCTTCGAGGCTAGAATTGACCTCTTTGTTTGGAGGTTTAAGCATTATTGGGTCCCTTCCTGTGTTGAAGGAGTTGGTTCGTCGCCATGCACGAGTGGATGTTGTTTGCTTTCTCTGCTTCTATATATGAACACGAGGAGGGAGACTCGTCAACACTCAAAGAATTTGGTTTGCTTCAATGGTTAATGTTTTGGGTTTCTATCGATGATCCTTTGTAGCCAAACCACTTCTGTATGTTTGCTCAATGTTCCATTGTCTTGGAAAACCTTACTTCTGATTTTTCTGGTGTGGTTGACTCTATTTTTGCCCAGCGCTGTGAGATATCTAATATCAGTAGATCGGACTTGGAGCTTCCCCGACACCATTATGTACCCCGGATACCACAGTTGAAGTTTCTTGTTGGATTCGACGGTTGGACCTCCTCTCAACCATATCAAAATCAACTTTAATGGTGTGACTTCTGATCTCGTGTATTCATTGATCTACTTCAAAATCAACTTTGAAGTAGGATTTGTATGTCCACATAAAAATCATAGATACAAATATTTTCATCGTTTCAAGAAGAGAAGCAAAAGAAAGGGATTGTTGATTGTTGTGGCAAAACATGTCTCACCAATTTGCATTGATCAGTCACAAACATGACAAAAACAACAACAGTATACCAAATACAAACTTTATCCTGGGGTGGGGTAACCCAGAACTCTCCAACCTTGGTGCAGGCGGAATTTGATCCCAGTCTCTGCTACAACCACCCAGGGACAAGGATTTGGTAACCTTACCATCCCCGTCACTTTCAAAATGAGAAAAAACGGGTATCAAAGACTTAGATCATGTTAAATCGTTTTCCTTTGATTTCTTTATTCTTCCCTTCTTGGCTTCTTCTAATATATATATATATATATATATAGCCAAGTTCCTTTTCAAGTGAGAACGATGCAGGAGCATGTGAAGGTTTAAACTTCGAAGTATCAATATTCTTAGTACCAAAATTTAACAGTGCATCATGTTAGGATTTAATACACAGAACAATGAACATCCAGAAGCTAGCAAAGCCTAACAACAGGGCAGCTAAAGGAATCTCCTAGAATATTCTAATTGGCTTTTAATGTCTCAAGGGAAGCTCCTTTGACACATTGGTCAACTTTTTTGTTGTTTGACCTTAATTCCACAGCATTTGTCATGTTTGTTTATTCATATTAATTTTTTGAAATCTTTATAAATAGTAATAAGGAAAGATCAAAGAGGTGGTTCTTTTGACATATCGCATCTCATGTGAAGCTTATTCATTTACTTTGGGTTGAGTAATTCTTTTGCAAATTGCAATCAAATTTGTGACTTGACTAGGTAGAATGACTTTCTAATTAAAAAATAGATAGGTAATTCTCGGGACTATCTCCTTTGAGCCTTTTGTTGGCTTTAATTGTGCCTTGGCTGCTCATCGAAGAAAAGAAAAGTTGTGTCTTGGCTGACATGAAGTAGGTATCAGAGCATGCCATCATTTTCACCTACTGCTGATTAGTGTTGCACCCTGGCTTGCATCATGAAATACAGCAAAGATATAACTATATACTTAGATACCCTAAAACAGTAAAACTAGAAGATGAAAAAAGAGGACAGACAGCAAACTTTTTGGATGAAGAAGCAAACTATCATCTGTTCTTTGGGTATTTGGTATATGAATTGCATACATGAAGTTCCAATTGGTCATTTACACACAAGGATAATGATTCATTAACACTAATACCAGAAAAAGAAAAGATTCATTAACAATACCATTTCTCATATTCAGATATAAGAAACCAGCAACCTTTATACTATCTTGGATGATTTCTTAACTCAGCTCTAGAGTTAAGAGTACCATTCTCATGTTAGGCTAGGTAGTAATCATAACCAAATAAAGCCCTATTTGATAGCAATGGCTAGATCAAACATATACTTTTGCCAAAAATAATAAAGAAAACGATCCTCTTTTGTAAAAAAAAAAAAATATACCCTTTTGACAAACAACTATTTCTTCAATTTTCTTGAGAATATGACAACAGTTGTTATAACGACTCCATGTTGATGGTTACCCCATTAACTCTCCATGCATTAATCCTTCAAACCTGTAAGACAGTAAGCAATGCATTAGAAAGTTTCTTGTCTGCAAGTACATATACTGATATACATATACACATGGATTGGAGTATGAAATGAGCAAGGTGGTACTATTTTGAAGGCATTTGTTCAGGAAGTAAAAGATGGGGGAAAGACCACTTGGACTAATAACTAGCAGGCTTCTAACATTTAGAATGCATTAATCCCATATTACTAGATCGTTACCTATTGTCATGGTAATTTACTATGATACACAAGATGTTTGCTGGCTAATCTATTCATCATTTGGTAGACCATCTGTTGGGCTATATAGACCAAAAATCATAGTTGGTAACTTGGTAAGTGCATGCTAATTTAACATCTAAGCATTGTAAAGCAACCCTCTCTATCTGATGATCTGTATTTCATAACTCTGGCCATCCAGCGATATTTCTGATTGTAATTTTCTTTTTTACTTCCCTTTCAGTAAAACAAGTAGGACTGTAGAAGTACTGGGTAATGGAAATTACAAGACATTGACCAATCAATTTACATTCTTCCATTGTTTTAAGGTTCAACAATCAGGATCCATCAAAAAAAGATGCAACAATCAAGTATAGGATAAACTCACAAATGCTTTGTTGTAAATGGTATATCAAACAAATCTTACTTTTCCCCATTTATGATTGGTATTGACAACAAGGTCGAGAGAATTTTGTTGTTAAAATAAGATAATTCAACAGTCACTTAAAGCTTGTAAAAAAAACAGTCACTTAAAGAACATACTCAAAGGAAAAGATAATATTACTTATACTCAAATGATTAATTAAATTAAGGATGATCTTTTAATTTTAAAGTTATTCTCTCAATGCCCAACATAAAATTATGAGCAATGCTACTGACAGAAAAACACCCATCGACCCATATTTTTACATTTCCTGTTTTACACCATAAAAGCGGCCCATGTCCATTTTGAGGCATTGCTGTGCAATAATATGGCATAAAAGAACCACTTAATAATAAAATAGTATTCTAATAGAAATATATACATATATATGTTTTTTCCAATTATACATGTATACATATACACACAACTGCTTTAATATTTAATCATTTCTAATGGAAAAAAGAAAGCACCCTGCATAGCTATAAGATCGCTATAAGTATGTTATCCTTATGGATATTCTAATACTTTGTACTTTCTCTTAATTTCTAACTCTCCAACTGCAAGATATTCAACCAAGCCATTTTACAAAAAGGATAGGTTTTCACATCATATATGTATGTGGTTTGCAAAAAGACATGATTTTTTGATATTTTTCATTATTCTTCTATATGAAATTTTGAGAGGTGTGTCAACACCCTTGGCTGAATAGCGAAAAGAACAAGAATAATCTTATAGGTGTCCAGAATTGTTGGCCCCCACCTCAAAGAGTCTCTTATATATTAAAAGATATGTACAATTACAAGAATGCCCATATAAAAAGAATAAGATATATAAGTGAAGTAATACACAATAGGGACTATACTAATAAGATACATCAAGTCACTAAATCTCCACACTGGACATAAGCATCAGTTTGTCTATAAGAAAGAGATGTCAAACTCTAGCCATAGCCTTGTTGAAGATATCGGCAATCTACATGTCCGAGGCTACATGAGGAAGCGATATAGACTCAGCAGTGAAAAGATCTCGGATAAAGTGGCAATCCACCTTGATGTGCTTGGTCCTCCTAGGGAAGACAGGGTTAGATGAAATCTTGATAGCACTCATATTGTCTGCATAGAGAGGAATAGGAGTAGGAAGCTGAATGCCAAGATCCATAAAGAGAGACCGTAACCAAACAGAAGACGTTGCCCTATACTCTGCTTTAGTGGAAAACTTGGAAATTTTTGTTGTTTCTTACACTTCCAAGAGATGAGTGAATCACCCATAAAGACACACCACCTAGAATTGGACCTATAGGTGTCAAGACAACCAACCCAATCTACATCGGCATATGCTCTCAACTGAATAGGGGAGGAGGAGGAGGAGAAGAACAGTCACTGAGAAGTTGTGCCTCTAACATACCAAATGATGCGATGAACAGCAGTCATATGAGGTTGACGAGGAACAGAAACAAATTGACTAACAACCTGAACAACATGAGAAATATCAGGCCGAGTCATAGTGAGATAAATGAGGAACCCCACAAGCCAGTGATACAAGGCAGCATCAGGAAGCAATGGACCTTCAGATTTAGATAAATTAAGATTTAGCTCCATAGGTGTATCAACATGCTTCTCATCATTAATACCAGCAAGTTTAACAAAGTCAGAGGCATATTTCTACTGACAAATAAAATACCCTCGATCAATGAACTTCTAGTCCTAGGAAATAGGTGAGAGGGCCCAAGTCCTTCATGTGAAAGGAATTACATCAGTTCCAGTCATCAACATACAACAAGAAAATGGTAATACCCGGAGGCCATCACCTAACAAAGAGAGAGTGATCAAAGGAACTCTGGCTATATCCAGCAACAACTACAACATCTCGAAAGCCTTCAAACCATGCTCGAGGAGCCTGTTTTAGACCATATAGAGATTTTTTGAGGCGACATACTAAAGAATAATCACTGTAGTATCTAGGAGGAGGCTTCATGTAGACCGTCTCCTTCAACTGACCATGACTTCACATCAAGTTGGTATATGGTCCAAGATTGGGTAGCAGACAATGCTAAGAGAACACAGACTTGGTGATATTTGCAACAGGAGCAGAGGTTTCTTCATAGTCGATGCCATACTCCTAACTATATCCTTGGGCAACTAAACGAGCCTTGTATTGATCAAGAGATCCACCAAATTTCAGCTTAATGTTGTAAACCCAATGACTCTCAGCAATGGATGCATCTGAAGGAGCAGGCACAAGGTTYCAAGTGTCATTCTCATGTAGAGCGTGAATCTCTACATCCATGGCTTCCTTCCAATGAGCCAATGAGGGCTACTACTAGCTTCCTAGTAGGAGTGAAGAATATCTGTGGAAGATAGGACATCAGACAAAGAGCTATGGTTTAAAAGAAAACCATAACAGACAAAGAGATATGGTTTAAAGGAAAATCATAGCGATCAGAAGGTCTAGATATACGAGTAGAATGACAAAGAGGAACAGAAGTATGAGGAGTATCTGAAATAGAGGTATCACTTACAAGAGCAGTGGTAAGACGATGATCTGAACCGGAAGGAAGGAGAACCGCAGGTGTAGGGAATAGAACACGTAACCGCTTGCAAGAGAAGATGAGAAGGTCCTTCTCAGCAAAAGGAGGTGGAGCATCTTGTGAATCAAGGTTTGGCAAAACAGAAACAGACGGTGTAGATAGTCTAGCAATTCCAACAAAAAAAGAAATGTGCTCAAGGAAAACAACATTACGTGATATACGAATGCGACAAATAGAGGGATCATAACAAAGAATCCTTTGTGGTCAGGACTGCAACCCACAAAGGCACACATGACAAACTGTGCAGACAATTTAGAACGTTCACAAGAGGAAAGATGAACAAACCATACACATCAAAAAACATGAAGCACAGATAAATCTAGAGAACGACCAAACAACTTTTGAAAGGGAGACATATTACCAAGAATAGATGAAGGAATATAGTTGATCAAAAACACAGTTGTATTGGCTGCCTTTACCCAAAAAGGTGGAGTATGGGACTCCTACAATAATGTCCTCACAACACTAAGGATATGCCCATTCTTGCACTCGGCGACACCATTATGTTGAGGAGTATCTAGACAACTTCGTTGCACTTGTATTCCATTTCCATGATTCTTCAAATAGGATAAAAAGTCCCCATCAATGTATTCTCTCCCTGAAACTAAATGGAGAATATGCACTTGTGATTGAAACCGAACCCGTACCATAGCATGGAAAAGCCTAACTGTTGGGAACACCTCTAACTTGTGGCAGAGAAAGTATATCCATGTGTACCTAGTACAATCATCAATGAACGACACAATATTTGTATGCAAGTCGAGAAGTGACGGATGCAGTCAAGACATCACTATGTATAAAGCTCAAAGGGAGAGGTAGCATGCTCAGACATGTGAGGAAATGGTAAAGTATGACTCTTACTTAAACAACAGGAAACACAAGATGTATCAAAGGTCTGCAAGGAAGTAACTTTATTCTTCATAAAGCCTAAATCAAACAAAATTTTTAATTTCACAACATGTATATGACCCAAACGTTTATGCCATAAGTCCCAAACATTATTTTTATGACTCAAAAAGGAACTAGAAGTGGAGGAACTAAAATAAGTTGATGATGCTTTTGTTTGAGACTTTTCAAACTCCAATGCAAACAAACGGCCCAACCTGCTCCCCTTCTCTTTCACCTTCCTAGTGTTCTAGTCTTGAATCAAACATCCATCATGAGAAAATGTGAGAATGATACCTTCATTTGGCCAACAGAAATCAGATTTTGTAGTGAGATTAGGAACAAGAAAGGTCTTGGTAAGAGGGAAAGATGCAGTGGGTGAAAGCTTAAGAGATAGATCACTACTAACAATGATGCTTAACTTTTCACCATTGGCAATAACAATGTGTTTATAATGGGTTTCAATAAGGTTACTTGGTTGGTTAGGGTAAGCTCCTGTCATATGGTTGGTAGCTCCAGAGTCAATGGTCCAAATATGAGAAGGTGAAGAACAATAACCGGAGAACTCACCAAGTAATTCAATAGTAGAAAAGGCAAAAGAATTAGCARATGTTATCGGCTGTTGAATGTTTTCCTCAACCATAGATGCTAGAGAATCACCTTTAACAAAAGAATCACCACCAGTAGTAGATTTCTTACTCCCATGTGCTACAACAGAAGTGTCAATCCCATAGGTTGATCCATCCAGTTTTATAGGAATAATATCGACTCTATCAGAGGCCATTTTAGTAAGAAAACAATATTCTAGACACAAGGATATCAGAGAAAACCAAATTCAGCAATAGTCCACTCTAGTCCAGGGGGAAAGAGAAGTATTCCAATACTAGAGGAAGTCAAGAGACCCCAATAAAATACCATAACAGCTTCAAGAATTCAAGTTGACAGTCCAAAAAAGGCATGTTTTAGGACTGTCGAATCTAAAATCTCTCAAATATCAATATGAAATTTGAAACAAATAAATGGGAAGCAAGAAAACCCTAGGGCAACACCAGATCTTGTGTTGATCGAAACAATCCTTAGAAAACTCCAAACCAGAAACTGAGTGTAAGGTTAAAAAGAGCTTGAGAGAACCCTTCAATTTGGAGAGAAAATCCTAAATCACAGGCTGGTGTAGAAGGCCTGAAGTCCAAAACTGTTGCAGTCCAAAAAAGGAAACTGTACAGTATTGTTGCCTCCTCCAAAAACTTCACCAAATCAGATGTTGTTTGTAGGGAGAATAGATCAGGTCTAGGCAACACCAGATCTGAAGTTTGGCCTCGAACCAATGTCTCCCAAGAAAGATCTAATAAAATCTCTCCTGCTGGTTAAGCAAAGTGGACTGAACAGAAAAGGGTTGATCAAAACAGCCCTAATCCCCCCCTTTAAAAAAAAGAACAGAGGGATAGAAAATCCTAAGAGGACAATAAGATTACTGCTTCTAGTGAGGTTCAAGAAAAGAGAAAATAGATCAGGGAGCAACCTGCTCTGATACCATGTCAACACCCTTGGCTGAATAGAGAAAAGAACAAGAATAATCTTAGAGGTTTCTAGAATTGTCAACCCCCACAAAGAGTCTCTTATATATTAAAAGATATGTACAATTACAAGGATGCTCATATAGGGCTGAAAGAGAAAGAGAATAAGATATATAAGTAAAGTAATATACAACAGGGACTATACTAATAAGATGCATCAAGTCACTGAATCTCCATAAAGTGTACCACCAAAAAATAAATTCTTGTGAGCTCTTACAAAGATGGAGACCCTTTTAGTGTTTGTCTCCTCATGTTTGCTTCCTTTGTATGGCAAGTGGTGAATCTTCTTATCACCTATTAATGTCCTTTTCTTTTTGCTACTTGGATTTGGAAAAGGCTTTTCCTGGTCAAGTTGCAGGTAGACTCCCCCTCCTAATTTGGAGATATTCTTCAAACCTACTCTCTTTGCTCCACCAAGAAAGAGATAGAGGACACTACAAGAGATATGCTAGGGTGGTTACTCTTTAGTCCATTTGGGAGGAGAGGAATAATAAAATTTTTCTAGATAGGTCAAGTAATAAAGAAGAAATCACGGAAAACATTTTGCTAAAAGTAGGCCATTGGATTAAACATTAAATCTTTTGATTCCTTTCTACATTCTAAGGACTAAGGCGATGGCAATCGATAGTTGAATCATCAATGCTAAAGCTGAAATTATCCCAACAATGGCATCCACCCTACAACAATACTTACAAGCTAAACTCCGATCACTGCAGTTAGGAGAAACCTGGACCTTCAAGCATAGGAGGTGCCATTAGGAATTGCAATGGCAATATCAAAGTCATTTTCTCAGGATCAATAAGCATTGGTAACTATTAAGATTGGAAATATTAGGCAAAGAAACACAACATTGTTAGGCAAGTGGTTGTGGAGATTTCCTATGGAGCAAGAAAGTTTATGGCATAGGGTGATAAGAAGCATTCATGGATTGGTAGCAAATGAATGGGATGCTTGAATAGGGCTTCTCGCTCTTCCTTGTGGAAAGACATTGCTGGTGTCCTACCCGTTTTATCACCCTTCATCAGGTATGATGCTTGCTTGGGTAATAAGGTTCTCTTTTGGGAGGACACTTGGATTGGGGACTCTCTCCATAAGGATAGATTCCCGACCAACTATTCCCTCTCTCTGGACAAATTTAAAGTTATCTCTCATTTTTGTGTCTCTAGGGATTCTTGGAATTTGGGACTAAGGAGAGGTTTGAGGGACTTAGAAGTGGGATCAGCAGATGAATTATTTTCCCTCAAGGATAGACCCCTCTTGTCCTGATAGTAGAATTTGGACTCAATCCTCTTCACCATCAATGCCATACATTGGTTGAAAACTCTGGAATTATTCAAGGATGTCTCTGTAGATGACTTGAATAGAGGTTGGAGTGTAATAGCAGGGTCTTCTGCTTCATTGTCTACCATACAAGCAGTTCCATCTCCTTTGCAGTGTGATATGAAACCAAATTTTGATGGCAGCTCTGTTGGGAACCCTGGACCCTCTGGAATTGGGGATGTGTTTAGAGATGCAGGAGGAAGAATTCTGACCATGTATTATGGTCCAGTAGGGTGGAGGACTCGTTTAGAGCATAAGTGATGGCCCTCCTTCAAGGGCTCAAATTGGCTAAGCAATTGGGCATTCAACAGATAGAAGTGAAGGGAGACTCAAAATTAGTAATAGGTTGGCTTCAAACAAATAGCTTGGGAATGTGGTCCCTTAGACAACCTGTAAGGGAATTATTGAGCCTCACAAGGGAGCCGGGTGCACATGTTAAATGGACTAGGAGGTCAGCAAATGCTTTAGCTGATAATCTAGCAAAGCAAGGTGTAAATCGGGAGCCTTTAATTTGGGCTGTTTTGTAATTTGATTTATGATGAGGGGTCACCTTGTGTCACTGTAGGTGACAGTTTGTATTTCTGCCTTTTAAGATAATGAAAGTTACCGTTTCCTATCAAAATAAATAAATAAGCATTGATAACTAGACTAGAGCTGTACTGCTAGCAATATTACAAGGGATAAGGTTGAATAGGCTGCTAAACATTACTGATTTAGTTGTGGAAGGCGACTCAAGGGTGGTAGTGGGCAGGATGAAAAATAACAGTAAGGGAACTTGGCATTATAGGAGTAAAGGGAGATCAAAGCAATGACAATAGAACTGAAAATTACATATACATGGGTCCACAGATCAGCAAATGGTTTTGCTGATTCCTTGGAAAAGGATGGTTTCAATAGAAATCAGATCTTCTGGGGTTTTTTGACAATGTACAATAAGGAAAAAGAGTTTCATGCAATTCAGTTTTATGTAAAAAACGAGATGGAATGGGTATGGTGTCTGCTGTCACTCCTTGGGACAGTTTTGGCTGCTGTACATAATTGCCTTTCTTTTATTAGTGAAATTCAATTTACCAATCAAAAAATTTATTAAATAATTTCTTTGCAATGGATAAAATTTTAACCAATCCATATAATGGTATTCAAGCACTTGGATATAGTCTGTTGGCACTCAACACTGAGATTCAAGGGAAAAATTGCAAAAAAGAAGAATAAGGTTCTCTCCAATTTCCTCATTCTTCATCCAACAAATGCAAGCTTTAAGTCTTGTAGTAGCTCTACACAAATTCATTGTTATTTTATAACAACAGACGAATGAACAGAAAACTAGGATTGGTAGACTATGGACTCCACCACTTGATGGATTCATAAAACTAAATAAGTAGTAGAGAGAACCCAGGGCCTTCTCAGGTATAGGAGGCATCTTCAGGAGTGAATCAGGTCATGCGGTGGCACTATTTTCAGGTCAGATTGGCATTGGTTACTCTTTGAAGGCTGAAATAAAGGCAGTTATGGAAGGAGTATATGGAGCAAGGGAGCCAGATGTGCATAAACTGATAATTAAAATTAAAGGATACTTGTAATTGGTGATTAAGTGGCTGCTAAGGACAGCCAACAAGGGGTGGGGAGGGATCAAATGTTTTGGGCTCAGTTGTAAAAGCAAAGTGGTACTTGGAGCTGAGATGTTTTATCTCCAATTGCAATTCGTACAGTTGTAATTAACTTTTAATCCTATTAATGAAAGTTTCAGTTTTTGGTTAAAAAATAGATGAATGAACAGGAAATTATGAAAAACAAAAGAGAAAAAACTGTCAGGTGAAATAACTTCAGAAAAGTTGTTTTGACATTTAGCTTCTCCACAAAGCATCAACTTTATTTGTAAGTAATTGCAATGCATTTTATCATTTTTTGGCACAAATTTTTAAAATAAATGAGTTGCAGTTATATAAGTTGGTTAAGGCTCAAGATTTCTGTTTGGATGGTTCCTTTGAACAACTCGAAAATAGAATAGTTAGAAAAAAGGTTAGAGATGCTGCTCAAACTTATGACCATATCTGGCACATAAAATAAACTAGAATATGGTTGGCCCTAAATGATATGGGTAACCTTCTGAAAAAAGTATGACTTGTTTGTGTACCCTTGTGAGAGCTCAGGTAGCGATTTCTGAATGCCACAAAATTGTCCAAAGTAGATTTAACATGGCAAGATATCTTATTCTTCATAACCTTGAGGTTGACACCCTGGTCAAGGGCAGACATGTGCTTAAAGCTAGAGAGCCTTCCGCTGGCTCCCCTCTGTAAATCATTAACATGTGGAGCAACATGGTTCCAACCATCCTCCACAACATTTCTCATGGAAAGAAGACCACTGGATCTAGCGAACTCCAAAGCACCAGTTCTGGTTGCTGCAAAAGCTGTAAAAAAAGGTACAAGTTTATCAAGTTCAGGAGCACAACAAGACCAAAGTCCACAATGCATGTACAAAGAGGCTCAGTACAACATTCCTTTTTGCTTTTTTTTTTCTTTTCTTTTTTATCTGTAGTCTGATTATTTGTTCCCCTGGTTAAATCATTTACCTCCAGATATATGTGATCTGAATCCATACATCTTTTATTGGAACTTTGAAACCATGCCTTGATGCAAATAATCTTATATAGAGACAAATGCAAATATCACTAACGGTATACATGGATGAATGTACATAAGACTGTGTTTGGTTGCAGTGCAATCTTATTTGAATTAATACAAATGTATGAGAGTGCAAATGAAAAGAATGCAAATTCTGGTCTAATTTTGTTTCGGGTTTTAGTTCATTATGTTTCAGGTCTTATTTTACTTCATTTGTACTGCAATCAAATAAAATAAGGTACATTTTGAAACAAAAATAAAACAGAATTTGGACCCAAATCATTTGCACTACCTTAATTTTGCATCAGTGCAAATTTATATGCACTGCAACCAAACACAGCCTAAAGAGCATGCACCAACTCTTTCCCATTCTTATTGCTTTTCTATCTGCCTTAAACAGGTAACACATTCAACATATCAAAGAAAAGAAAATTCCCTGATTTTAATTCACATGCACTCTTAGTCTTGCTAATTGAACTTCACATTCATTTGCAGAAGGATGTGCTTTGTGATAACACTTTTAGTGGTTATTCACTATTGTTTGCACTAAACTTACTCTTAATTTTTTTTTTTTAAATTAAAATAGGCTCTTACATCAGGCAATTCTTTGAATCAGATTTCTGAGGATTTACTTCCACAAGGAATTGCCAGAAGTGTACTGTTAAAAAACCACGTCTTATGAATTAAAAAGAGCCATATCCCACAAAACTAGTTTCATAAAGGGTCTGGATAGTTATGAAGCTGATTATTACATCACATATAGGCAAACCTGTAGAAATTATAACACAGACATACACCTCATACATATATAAGCTCTAGGAATCATACTTGGGTTCAAAACTTAAATTTTAGAAAAACAAATGCTGCAAACAAGTTGTGTCTCTTTATTATCCAGTTAATATATGGTAGAGCATAAAATGCACGTCTGGGAGCATTATAAAATTGTAATATAAAACAATAATCAACTCAAATATTTTGGTCACAAATGTAACATAATTAAATTTGTGGGGGAGTAGGCTAGTCCTACATTCCATTGGGATGCTTGGCATGCTAGGTGTATAATTCATTCTTTATTCTCTTAGTAAAATGATGCAGTAAATCATTGAAAAAAATATATAAAACAGTAAAGTTCAATTTGTTCTTTTGGTTTTAATTTTCACAATGACAATCAGCCAAATTTTAACAGGCACAATTCTTTTCTATGCATTAAGGTGGCATCAGTCTGTATGGTTTTGAAAATCCAGCAGTAAACCATGGAATATCTGAAAAAATGTACCATTAGAAGGTATTTCAACAAGGAAGTTTGCAGGAAGACCAATGCCAAAACCAGCCACTGTGATGCCAACACTAAATCCAACCCCACAACCAGCTCCAACGTAGCCAATCACCTCAGGGCCAAACCCAGGACCCCATCCAACACCACATCCTACGCCGATCCCCATGCCCCAAAATGCTCCAGATGTTGGATGTACAGGGTTCCATTTTGCATACCTCTTAAACAAACCTTTTATGATCATAAAGATTTGCAACTGCAATAAAACAAGTGTCATAATTCTAGAAAACAATAACCAAGTTGAAATCAAACCACTAAATTAATGTACAACAATAAGCATATGATCTGATGTGATTGATGTTAACAAGAAAAAACTCCATATCTATTGCTCGACTAAATCCAATAGTCAGTATTCTTGAGAATTACACAAGAAATTACATCAAGTCAATCACCAAGGTTTGAAATGTTGGAACCAATGGAAATATAAGTCATCCAAATACAGGAAACATGTCAGAAATGTTCTGTGGAGATATAGTGTAAATTATAGACATGGTGGAAACATTGTGAAATATGCAAAAATATAGAATGGTATTTTATGAAATGATAAAAGAATCATAGGCACACCCTTTTAAATTATTATCTTGTACTAAACCATCAAACAAAGCTGAGAAGCTATAGTTAGCAGACAAAATAATACACTGCAAAGTTGTCCTGTAAACGTTACGAGTAAAAGCTACATAATAGTGCGGGCTCAAGCAAGATTTAAATTTGTAGAAAGTGTAAGTGATTCTAATAGATCAACCAAATAATATATTGTGCAAACAAAAACTAAGAGTTAACTTCATGTCTGAGAAGAATTTTGAGCTGGATCAAAGTGGCAATCATGTACAATACTACTAGGGGTAACTGGTTTGGTGATTGGGTGGAGAGGTCTTACCAAAAACTCAGTCTGAATCCATTTCCCACCTTAAAGAAATATCCCCAGAGAAACTGGGGAGTAAATTCATAACCCCTTTCTAAATTGAACAGCCTAGGGATGGCAAGGAAGAAGTATTAATCACCCAATCCCCCTATCCAGGCCATACTTTGTAGCAGTTAGACCTCTCCACCCGCTGTCTCTTTCCATCCCAAACCTCCAAATCCATGGACATGGATTTGATTTTGGTGCAACCAGAATTCATGAATGTGCAAAGAGCTTCCTTTAGATCCTGTTTTTGTTCTACTTTAGAAATGTTGACAGACGATTTGTAATTGGTTTTGTTTGGCTTGTCACCTTAGCTTCCATCAATTATATTTTTTGTGTTGGATGGCATCTCATCACCCTCTTTGCTTTTAAATTAAAAAAAAAAAAAAAAAAAAAAAAACTTCTTTCTATTTACTACCATTTTTTTTTGAAAAATATAAAGTAATTTTATTAAATAGAAGGGAACTGAATATAACAGGCCCCTGGGAAAGCACAAACAGCTTCCTCCTCCACGGGGACATGGACCAAATCAAATCCACCACTAGACAGAGTACATAATTCTCCAAAGCAACAGATGGAATAACTAAATTTCACATGCACTAATTGAAGAGAAAAATTGTTAAGAAGGTAACCAATTTTGTTGTATGGAGCAAAGCATCAGGTAAGCAAGAAGCAACATGTATTTTGAGGCTAATACTTCATTATTAAGGGTGTAGGCAAGGAGGGTAAGGCTACAAAGGGGTCTACCTAAAGGACAGTAGATGGCTCTTAGAGGAGGAGGGAGAGGGAAGGGAAGTAATTTAAGGCTTGGGGAAGGCTAGGGTTTCAGTCCGACAGAGCTTACATAGGGATCTCTGAAAGACTAAAGTGTGGATAACCTTGGGCCTCTCCTATTTATAGACGTGAAGCATGTAAAAGGAGGGAAACTTTCCCAGGTGGGAAAGTTGTTATTTGATTAGATCTAAAACAGGCAAGCCGAGTGGGGTGTAGCTACATGTCCATGTGAGGATCCCGGGATCTGGGTTCCTACCCTTCTCCTCAGGATCCACACATGAGCACTAGTGTAGTTGTTGGCCTCTTCTAGAAGCTAGCTCAATTGTGCCTTAGAAACTTCTTGTAAACACCTAAGTGTTGATGAGATACCACGAGAGGAGTGTAAGGAGTTGCATTGTCGTGATATTGCGATTTGATGCTAAGGCAGAATGTCATTGCAGCGYGAGGGGTTGCGATGCTATGTCAAATCTTGGGGTGAGACCGTAGTGGCAAGGTTCTTAAATCTAGCATGCCCACAATGCAATGGTGAGGTACCATTTCATGTTGCAGGACGAGAAGTGTGAGTTGAGATTTTGCGGTTGTTGCGAAACAAAATTGCGTTAGGGTGAATTTGGGTCTTATGCTGCAATGTGGCCACACTGTGGTAATGTGTTTGTATGACCTCCGTTGCAATTCATAGGATGACTAAATCCATGTACTTCAAAGGGGATTAAATTAATTCCAAGACCATTATTAAACAAATTTAATTAAATGGAAGGTTTAAGCAATTTGTCAAGTTGCTTCAAGGGACCTCTGAATATTCTATAAAATGAATTAAACAAAAGCCCAAACCATCCAAGTATGTTATATGTGCTCCCAAGATAAATGTGTCAAGAAACACTAGTTGTTTTGTCATGTTAACTGAGTCATCTCTCATATTCCCATATAAGCATGAACCAAGAAACCCAACCAAACAATTCAAGACAACAAAAATAAAACCAGTAAAAGTGTAACCTAACACTGAATCAGCTCAACTCAATCGGAGAAAAGATTAAGGAAATTGACTAAGAACCTAGAGAACTCAAGATTTATTTCAGTAATGGATATTGTTGAGAAAACTCAATCACTAGACACCATAATTCTATTTAAACTCAAGCTTACCATTCATTGACCCCAAAATTTTTCTGATTTGGATTCTTAAACTGAAATGAAACCATCAATTATCTAAGACCCAGAAAACTCAAAACAATTTGATTGAGTATTTCCATTGTATCAGAAAAACGTCTGGTTATTAAAACGCAAATATCCCATTTTAACAGAAATATAACAAATTTATTGAGCAATGCCACGGAATACCCTGTTCAAAATCTAGTAGAAAAAGTTAAATAAATATTACACTTAAAATCCTACACCAATATTAGAGCAAGGAGAAAAAAAACGAGGAATCAAACTAGAGTCAAATATACACAAGACTCCTACCTAAAGCAACCACTGAGATTGCAGAAGCATTCAAAACCCCAGAATCGTCGCATTACAGGAATTGACAAAAGAAAATCTACAAGAAAAGATACTAAGAAATGGAATCCAAATGAAAGAATGCTGGACCCTGAGAAGATATTAGAAGGGTTAAATGACATATAATAGAAGAAAGAAGAACAAACAAAAAGAAAGCAATTACCGGATTTCCATTATCAGAGAGACCCTGCATCAACTTGTTTTCTTCCTAGCCTTTCCTGCTCCACCTCCAGCTTTCTTTCTTTCTTCTTCTTCTTCTCTCGGAAATTAAGTAGAAATTTAACTGTTATCCTCGACGTTCGGAGACCATGTGCGTTCTTTTCAGTCCACATCGGGGATCACCGTGACTGTTTGTTTGTACTGTTTCCACTCCAACGGGAGTAGCGGTGGGCCCAACGTAACCCACCAACCAATGGGCTTTGTGAAGCTGCGGCCAGCGGGGCGGGCCCATACAATCTATTGTTTCAGGAGGAAATGCCAGCACTCGACAAGCTTACGCCTTAATTTGTTGCCACAATCCGCCGCTAGGCGCTAACCCACAAATGGGAAATCGCTCATTTGCACCGAGTCCCTTCAACAACAAAAAAATCGCGATCCGATTGAGCAAAAGTTCGATCGAGTCTGATGGGTGATAGCTGATGCATTTGGGGGGCTAGAGATTGTCGTATGTCCATATCCAGGATTTTTTTTTTTAAATATCATGGGAATATTTGGGTCCTTTTATTACGATTTTTCAAAAAAACTTTGAGCTAGGTTCAGGGGGATGTGGCTGTTATTCACAAAAGAGTTTTGGAGTCTAATTCGCTTTGCCAGATCATGAGCTAGCTTTACAATATCCCTATTTACATACAAAATCTTAATATTATCAAAAAATAAGAATAATTCAGATATATGTTCATATAAAGCCTATAGATCTGATATGATGTTTTTCCCAGTTCCTTTCAGCTTCATAAGAACCTCCTTAGCATCCAATAGCAAAAAACCTGCTTTAACACCCATACAAAAAAATTTGCGTAAGCCTCTAATTATTGCCTAGAACTCAGCTGCTGCTGGTGATCTTGCCATGCATGGTTGTCCTTCTACAATAAGAAGATGAAACCTATGAGAGAACATAAATATTCCAATGGATGTAGTTTGCGTGGAGGTGCTCCATGAACCATCCACTAAGATGATCGGAAGGTTTGTGAGAAGAGCCTGATGCAAGTCCCAAACTGGTTGTAGTTGTAATGAGTTCGAAATTTGAGGCTCAGTTTCTTTAACTATATGGTAACTATCAGTCTTTTGCAGAATTTGAAGAGGGTTTGGTTTCACTTTATTAAAATTTGATCATTTCTTACATCTCATAAATTTCTAAAGATAGCACAAATCTTTGCAATGTAATTGTACTTTAAATCTTTGTTCTGCAAGTGAGTGTTATGTTGCCACCACCATTGGATTAGATCCTCTTGTCCAGAGCTTAGAAAAGCCTCTAGCACAAGTCCAGTTTGGGCCTACATCCAAACAACCCTTGAGAGAGGGCATTCCAAGAAGAGGTTCTCTTGGGTTTCTGGAGATTCCTTACAAAAAGTACACCAAGTGTCTTCTCTTCTTCTATAGATCCATATTTTTGTTTTTGTTCGAACAACTTTATGGAGAAACTTCCACATGAAGATCTAACATCTATGGGAGCATAGTCTCTTCCAAATTCTGGACCAACTCACTATACTTGATCGAGTTTGTGATGGGGTTTCTAGAAGTGAGTGATAGGCTAAATTCACAGTGAATTCCCCATTCTTTGAGTCTTTCCAGAGGAGCCTATCAGGTTGTTGTGGAGTCCTTAAGGGAATGCTTAGAATTGCTTTGACACTTCTATCTTTGAATTATTTGTTGAGGACATCAACATTCTAGGTCTAATGATCTATAATTAAATCACACTTTTAAGTGTGGAGGTTCTGGGCTCTCAGTTCTTTTGGCTGGAACATTGCTCTGTAGTTGGGGCACCCAGGGGTCCAAGAATGCTGAGATAGTTTTTCCATCTCCAAGCTTCTAGAAAAAATGAGCTTGTAGTTCATTTTTTTTTAATTTGATGATACATTTCCACCAACTCAAGTCTGTGGCTTTTTCTTTCAAGTCAAGGAAGCATTTTCCTTTGGTGTATTTTGCTTCTAGTTGCTGAGCCCAAAGATTGTCCCTGAGGTTTAGGAGTTGCCAGATTGATTTCAGCATTAGAGCTTTATTCATCGAGGAGAATCTCCTTATCCCCAGTCCTCCTAGGGTTTTGGGAGAGCAGATTGTAGACCATTTCATGTTACAATTTGTAGCTGTGTTAGATCTCCCTGCCCACCAATTTTTTTTTTTTTGCAATCTATCCAGTTTTCTACAAAACACTATGGGAAGGAGGCTTGTTTGCATGGTGTACACAGGGATGCTTTGGGTGATTGCTTTGATGAGAATAGTACAGCTAGCTTGGGAGAGGGTTTTGCTTTCCAGTGTTCTATCTTTTGAGAGGTGCAATCAGCTAGATGTTTGTTGGTGTAACTGGACCCATTTTCTCCTTTTGCTAACCAGGTTCCAAGGTATTTGGAGTTGTAATTTATTATTTTCATTTTTATTAACCATACCAGTCTTGTTTACATACCAAAGAAGAGGGGTGCAGAGAAAGCAAAACACTTTAGGCCAATTAGCCTAAGTAATGTGCTTTACAAAATCTTGGCAAAGGTCCTGGCCAATAGAATAAAGCCTTTACTCCCAGACCTAGTTCAGCAAAATCAGATAGCCTTTATCAAAGGAAGGAGCATTACAGATAATATCATCTTAGCAAAAGAGATCATTCACAAACTCAAAACTCAAAAAGGGAAAGGAAAGTGAGCAGCTTTGAAAATTGATATGGCCAAAGCCTTTGACCAAATGGGTTGGAGATTTCTCATAGAATCTAYGAAAAAAATGGGCTTTTTAGAAGCTTGGTGTGAGTTAATCTAGCAATGTATTTCCACTCCATCCTTCTCAGTCAAGCTAAATGGGTCCTCTTTTGACTTGTTCATCACCAAAAGAGGCTTAAGGCAAGGAGACCCCCTCTGTCCATACCTCTTCATTATTGGAATGCAGACCCTCTCAGCCCTTCTGTATAGAGAAGAGAGTCTCTCAAAACTCCAGGGAATAAAACTTGCAAGAAACTCAAAACCCATCACCCACCTCTTGTTTGCAGATGACTACTTTTTGTTCTGCAAGGCTGACCCTGAGTCTTTTCACTAGATCAAAACCACTCTCAAGCTATTTGAGCAAATCTCGGGTAGCACATAAATTTTGCAAAATCTGGAGTCATGTTCAGTAGTTTTTGACTCTCTTCAGCTGGGATTTGCTTGAATTTGAGTGCTTCTAAGAGGATGGGGTCAAAATTTTCTTCTTGCCCTGAGCTACTCAAGAAATGGTTTTTGAGGAGATTTGATATGGCATTTGAACCAGTGACCCATCTCTCTTGGTTTTCTATCAGACTTTCTATAGCCCCCCATCTCCTTCTGAATTTTGTTTTTTGGTGGAAAAGTTTTGTATTTCTATCCCCTTTTGAGAGCCAAAGTTCTCAGGATTTTAGTCTCTAAAGCTATTCCTTAGCAAGGAGACACTTATTGTACTAGGCTTCCAGCTCAACTAGCCTACTAATTTCTTCTTGGTTAGACTGGGCTACGATGATTTCTTGCTCCAGTTGTGATAGTTTCTTATGAATATCCCCATATGTGTTTTTATTCCAAAATTTGAGGTGGTTCTTCATGATCTTGAATCTAGTTGCTATTGAGTGGGCTCTAGAGCCTACAATTGTTTGGTTCCAACTCTCTGAAACAATGTTGTCACAATCCTTGTGATTTACCCACATTGGTAAGAAATTGAACTATTTTTTTCCTTCGAATGGGTCAGGTTTGGCATTGAGCAGAATTGTGGAGTGATTAGAGTTTATGGCTGGTAAGATTGATAATTTGGTGTATGGGGACCATGTTAGCCATTCCACACTAGCAAGACCTMTGTCTAATCTTTCTCTCACCCCTTTTTTCCTTGTTGTTTATTTGTCTAAGTGAAGTAAGGCCCTAAGTAGCCTAAGTTCGAGAGGGCAAAATGATCAATCAGTTGCCTAAGGTGCTAAGATGGTCTGGTTCTGTTGCTTGGTTCCACATAGTCCTCTGAATAGATTATATCATTTAAATCTCTTATTAGTAGCCAAGGGGTTCCACTTAGGTAAGATTTTGAGGTTGTGAATTGTTTCCAAAAAGCAGCTTTATCCCCACAGCTAGGTTTCCCATATAGGAGCACTATGTTCCATGGGTCAGAAGAGTCAGTGTTGCTTCCGGTTAGTTCTATAAGCCTTTGAGAGCTATCTCTTACTAAGATATTTAGGTTGCCTTTCCAAGCACATAACAGACCCCCCCACTCAAACCGACTGAACCTACAACCTTGAAGTTGAAATACCCCAGGGATTTTGAACAATTTTTGGCTTCTTTATCTGACATTTTTGTTTCTAACAGAAATAGGATGTCTGGGTTTTGTAACTTGCACCATCTCCTAATAGTTCTTTGAACTTCTTTACTTTTCCTTCCCCTTACATTCTAAGCCAAAATTTTTATAGTCTTTGCAAATTTGCTCAGATGATAAGTTAAGTAGACTAAATCCAGATAATCCGAAGTAGAGAAATGCAGGTTTATTTGAATGAATATAATATATAGCATAGAATATAAATAGGTGAATACCTGAATTACAAGTGATGTTAAGAATGCAATCCTCTGCTGCTGCACTTTCCAGAGATTGTCCCAGGCTTTTATCCATGATGAGTCCTCCAGACATGTAAGATTATCAAGGCTCCTTTCAGAGTGATCAAGGCCTTTGTTGTGCAGGATCATTGGGCTCTGATTAACCGGTAAGAGATCTGGGGTGTTGGAGGTGGTGATTGAGTTTGTCTCTAGGTGGTTATTTTTCGGAGCTCTCATTTCCTGAATCCACTTCCTTAGAGATGCTACAAATTGTCAACCAATGAACTCCTCTAGAGTTGGGCCAAAATTTGGGGGGATGTCAGACATGGCTTGGGAGTCTAAATGGTCTTTCAGAGATGACTGGTATCTAAAAGGTCTCCCTTTTCTTCTCGAGCTAGTAGAGGAATTAATTATACCAAATCCACCAGCTGCAGTCGAGTATATTTTGTACTGATTTTCCTAGAGATTTGGGCCCAGATTAATCATTTCTTTCTTTTGCTTGTCCTCGGGAGTCAGGCCCAATATAAGAGGGTCCTGCTTTTGCGGCTTCCGAGTGGCACTGTTACTGGACTTAGCTCGTTTCCGCTTTGATGACTCGCTCGACTCACTATGGCTCATTTTTGCTACCTGATCTTTGGCTCTGCCATTACTTCTCACCGGCAGTTGGAGACCCTTCGTTATTCTCTGCCTTTTTCTCGATCAGCTCGTCCTCTGAATCTTCCTCTGAGCTTTGGTCACCTCATACGATTTGGAGCTGCTTACATGTGTTTACATTCTCCTGAGACTTTCTCTGGATTGGGAAACTGAGTGGTTTCTTTGGTTTATGCTCTRCCCGCAGCCATTCACCCAGCTCATCCAGCTTTCTCTCCTCTAACTCTAACATGATTTCGTTGAGAGGTGTTGATTTTGGAATGAGTTTACACTTCTTCCA